TACAGAGTGTGTTCCAGGCAGCTGGAGCTACAGGGAGACCCTGTCTCAGAAAGACCAAAAAAAAAAAAAAAAAAATTCAGTTTTGAGACCTTACGTTTAGGTTTACTATCATAAGCCAATTCATTTCCTGGACTGTGGGAAACAATTTTTAGTGTTGCAGAGAGTAAGTTTCAGATAATGAAGACCAGAATGAATGTCAGTACTGGATTTTGATGGGTCATATAATTTTATTTTTATTGATTTTGGCTTAAAATTTATTTAGATACATATATATAGAGAGAGAGAGAAATTATAGGAATGTAATATACAGATGACTTAGTAGATATGTAGATGAATGGCCTGAATGGCCCTATATAGAAACACATGCACACACATCAGCTTACTTATAGTGTGTATGTTTGTGTGTATGGCCACTCTCTATTGCTGAACAAACCCATTGCCTAGATCATTTTTCATAAACTTGTGCAATTAAACTTGTGCAATAAAGAGAAATAGGATTTCTAACAAAAATGAATCATACGCTTTTCAGGGCAAATAATAAACAAATGATTCTAGAATATGTTTTAATGACTGTAAAAGCACTTTTTGCTTTTATTTTAAAAATAGTTGGGGGCATAATTAACTTCCAATATCCAAATCAGGACCACTTTGAGCAGCAATTCATCCTTGGGATCACTCTATAGTGACTCATAGAAACGGGTCTCTTTCTGTGTGTGTGTGTGTGTGTGTGTGTGTGTGTGTGTGTGTGTGTTATTGAATTTTGTGTATTTTTTTATTTTTTTATTTTACCTTTATGTATGTATTGCCTGCGTGTACAACTATTGAATTTTTGTGTATTTTTTTTATTTTTTTATTTTACCTTTATGTATGTATTGCCTGCGTGTACAACCATATCTCCATGTCGTTCAATGCCCTCGGAAACAGAAGAGGCAGACCACGGAAGATGGTGTCAGATGCCCTAGAACTAGAGTTAGGAATGTTTGTTAGCTGCCATGTCTTCTGCCATGTCAAACCCATGTTTTCTGCAAGAATAACCTGTATTCTTAACCGCTGAGCCATCTCTCCAGCCCCTGAATTTTTGTGTATTTCGTACAGAACATCTCAACAATCTTAGTCATCTGTCTACACCCTTCCCCACTGGCACCTTCTCATAGCCCCGCACCCCACTGAATTTCATGCATTGTGTCATTTGTGTTAAGGCCTATCGTGTCAAGTTAGTGTCCCCAGACATCCCTCAGTGCAAGTTCATCCACTGGGGTCTAGGAATCCTATCTAGAGTTCTTCCCTTTACAAAAGTCAGCTCTTCCTCATCCATTAGTAATCAGCTGCCAATAATTCTTGGCCTAAGATTGGGGACTGCTGCCCATTTCCACAGCTCTGTGCTGAGCTTTGTCTGCTCAAGTTTGCATGGGTCTCCTTGTATCATTTTGTGGTATACCATCATATAGATGTACCATAGACTATCTAAGACACTGTCTTAGACAGCAAGGTACTCCAACAAAAACACCTTAAAGGAGAAAGGGTTAATTCTGGCTCGTGGATCAAGGTGCTGTCCATTGTCGTGGGGAAGTCAAGGCAGCAGGAGCCTGACACGGCATCTACAAGTCAGGGAGCAGAGAGGGATAAATGTGCTGTTCAGTTCCTTCCTCCAGGCTCCCCTTCAGAGGAATAGCCCCACCCACAATCAAGATGGGTCTTCCCATACCAACTAATGTAATCTGTCCCCCCCACAGGCACATGCAGAGGCCTATTTTCCAGGTGATTCCCTGTCATACTAACAGTCAACACTAACCTGTACAGGTACTCTCTTATCAATGGATATAAAGGTTGTTTTGTGATGAATCATGCTACAAAAATGTAGTTTTACCTCAACATTCATAATCCTGGTAGCATATTTTTATGACAGGAAGCTAAATGTATGACTTTAGAGTTAAACAGCAAATGTTAAACGCTATCGGTTTTGTTCAAACAGTAATTTCTCACCTACAATTTATCAAAGATTTCCAATTATTTTCTATGCCTCTAACCTCATTATATAACCTTACCACACTTAGATAAGGATTTTTATTCTAAATAAAGAGTCTCATATTTACTTCTTTGCTCATAAACTTTCAATGATTCTCTAACGATTAGACAAAGACAAAAATGTTAAGAAAGACAGTTAAAGCCATAGCTTGCTTTTCCTTCTGGCCTCCCTTCCAGTATGCCCCTCTGCAACCCGAGTTATCAGTGTTCAGAAAGACATGATCTTTCATAATCAACACCTGACTTCCTCCTATCTGATAGTCTTTGTATATCCGTAGAAAATCAGTTCAAATTCTCTTTCTCTTCAAATTCTTTCTGAACTCCCTCCAAGTCATGGTTTGCTCACCTGCCTCTTTGCACTTCCATCTATTAAAGCCTTGATCACATTTTTAGCAATTCTTTACTAACAAGCATTACCTAGTCCATATCAGAAGTGTGTAGAAGCTTTACATATATTCTGTCAGAGAGAAAAGCCAGGTAAGGTATCTATGAAAGCTACAGGTCTGGCATCTGAAGCCAGGCGCTCATTCCAAAACCTGAGGTCTTTGGGAGAGACAGCACTGCCTTTTCTGATACTGCAGATATGCCCACTTTTCAGCTCCCAGATCCCTTGATGTGCCAAAAACCTATTGACACAGTAGACTTTGACAAATACAGCAGTTTCTCACATCCAACAACCCGCCTTGCATTCCCAAGTTACTGTCTTCATCATTTACCAACAGTATAAAGTTGAGCAAGAATTTTAATTTTTAAATGGGCTTTTTAGTCAATATACTGATATCTAATGTTTTCTATTGACCAAGTATATGTAAGGCATTCAGTCATAGTATGTACCTAGTAAACATTCATAAACATTACACACCTAAAAATAGTGGAGGTTCTGTTTTATTCCCTTTTGTATCACAACCACTTAGTAGTAAATACATGTAATTTAATAGAAGTTCAAAATATAACTATCATATATAGAGAGTATGTACAAATATGAAGGAGATTTTATATGCATAAAGTATAATGGAGATCTCAATTAGTTGGGAAAATAGAAATTAAAAGAACATTGCTGTCAAAAGAATATAGTTATAGCATCCATAAGCACATCAGTCTAGGTGTGATAGCTGGATAAATGTAAAACCTGCCCTACATTCATGCAATCCATGCTGCAGGCACAGCATACGAACGTTCCAGTCTTTCAATTTTGAGAAAATAACAGCTAATAATCACCTCTGAGTATCAGAAGAGCTTCACTAGTTACCCAAGTAGATGATGAGTTTAGCAGTGTAGTGGGTTTTGAAATTTTAATAATAATTTAAACCTAACTTGAATTTTACATGCCCTATTTTATTATCTCTTTGTAATAGAAACAGAATGCTATTATTTGCAGCTTTGGTTTTCACACAGACAGAAAAAAATAAAAGGGAAAACATTTCAAATCCCACTTGATGTGCAAGACTAAAACCTCATAAACCAAATGACAAATGTATGATTTGTGTAATCCAATTACTCACAATTAGGTTGTTTATGTCATAACAATCTGTGCTGAAATGTAACAGGAATCTAGATAAAAAACAAAGCAAAATTTTTAAAGCAAAATTCAGAAGTAAGGCATAGAAAAGTATTCTGGAGTTTGAATGAGAGTTTTAAAACATCATCTACAAACTACAAATACAGGTCACTGGTCACACTTAATGAGAGAAGACATGCAGTTCAAACAGTGTGGAGGAGAGAAGTCTGCACACCCATGGGAGTATCCAGGGTGGGGACTCCTGGCCCATATTACAATTCACTCTAGTTACTTGAGAAAACTGCTTACAGTTTTACACAATGGCTATACTGATTACTATTTCTATCAACAGTATGCGAAAGTTCCCTTTTGGCTATATCCTTGTCCATCAAAATGGTCCAAGGAGTAAATTTCAAATACTAGGTAAACAAAGCAAAACAAAAGATAAATATTGAGGTGATGAACATGTAAATTATTTATTTATTGTTCTATGCTGTATTCATTAGAGCATTATCCTGTACCCCATAAATAGATGTGCCTAGAATCTGTCAATTTTAAAATGAAAAGGAAAAAGGTAGTCTTGAAGGAGAAAAGGTAATGCATAGGCCCAAAGAGTCTTCACCACGTAGCGTTCTTGCAACAATTTGGCGTCAGTAATCTGATTTTCCTCTTTTCCCATCCATTACACCAGGAAAACTTGGGGGCTTGCTATATTCTTTTAAAATTTTGATTGGAGACACCATCCTTCCTTCCTCAACCTTTAAGGAAATCCTTAATTGAGTCAGTTTATTGGCATTAGGAGATCGTACTTAGTGATTAGAAGTTTTTAAAACATACACAGGAAATTGGAATACTGTCCTTCCTGGTATTACAGCTGTCACAGCCATTACACGGGGTGTGGCCCAGCTTCCACCCATGACCACCCAGTGAAATGACAGTCTTAAAGGTGACCCTGTGAACAAAGTGACAACAGTTCTAAAACTAGGATAATTTCTTCTCATTTTCTTTTACCCAGTCAAAACAACTACTGACCTTATCCAAAATGTTCAAGACTTCTTGGGGTGTGAGGGAGTAGAGAAAGCATTTCAAACACCCAGCCAAGCACCCACTCACAGGCATGCACACACACACACACACACACACACACACACACACACACAAAGCATCTTTGCTGATGCAGAAAGTCTTTAATGGCTTCTCCTAATTTATACTTCCCTCCATTATTCCTGATTCTGCCCAGGGCCTTTGAAAGAACATGTCAAGGGTTCCTTTCATTTTTTCATTTCTGTCTTTTACTCATCCTGAACATCACCCTCAACTTTGTGCATTATTTAAATTAACACACACGAACCCATTTGCTAGGTTGTGTGAACTTTTCTGGCTCTGCACCAGCCTTACCTCCTCCAGTTATTCCCTCTTGGACCCCAGCCTCACAACCTGTGCCTGTGCCTCTCTTCCCTTCTTTCCCTTGCTAGGTGCCTTTACCACATCCATACCCATCACAGGCTTTCCAGATTCCCGGGCTGTTTGCTGGTGAGAAATCTTTGCTGCAGCAAGGACCGGAGTCCCCCGCGCGCGCAGCCCTGTGGCAGAAGAGGGCTAGGCTGAGAGGGAAGGGCTGGAGAGGAGGGAGGCAGCCGGTCCTCCCGGAGAGCCTGCAAGGATGCGGCAAGGGACTGGGACCATGGGGAGGTGCTAACCTCCCCCCGCCCCAGCCCCTGATCCGGGCTTGCAGACCCGGCCCCGCGGGCCAGTTCCCTGCCAAGCGCATCCGAGAAGCCAAAGGCGCCTTGAAAAGCAAAAAAGAAGGGCGCTGGAGAGGGGTACCCATCCCCAGAGTCTGTCCCTCGCCGAACCCAAGAAGAAAAGAGAGAGTCAGAGATTGGAGAAGGGACGCAGGAACTCCAGTCTGCAGACTGGCTTGGGAGCCTTGTCCGGGGACTAGGGCGCTCCGGTGAGCACCCGCTGGGGGAAGCTGGGCGTGGGGGGCGGGGGGCGAAGGCGCGTGGCGGGAGTGCGCGCGCGGGGAGGGGACTCGGCGAGGCCAGCGACCCTCCGGATGCTGCGGGCCAGGGCGGGGGATGTGGCTGGGCGAGAGCTGCGGAGCGCGCGTGGCGGCCACGGCGCCGGTGTTGGTGTGTGTGAGCAAGCGGGCGGCGAGCGCAAGTGAGCCACAGACAGAGCGCATGTCTCATCCCTGTGAGCAGAGCAGCCGCTAGACGCTCCACCACCATCTTTTGCATGTACAACATTTTCAGCAGGACCGAAAACCTCTCCCAGGGCTATGGAGACTGCGGGAAACATCTGGCAGCTGACGATGGATTGCTAAGGGAAAACAGTCACAACCTCAGAGCACCCAAACCTTTCTTCTTTTTTTTCACCTTTTCTTTCTTTCTTCCTTTTTTTTTTTTTTTTTTTTTTTTTTTTTTTAAATTTTAGCGCCATCATCTTCAATGCCTCTCTGAACAGCTTTCAGCAAGAGTGTGAGAGAAAGAGAGAGAGAGGAGAGCGCGCGCCAGGGAGAGGAGCAAAGAAGATGAGGATTATTTGCAGACAGATTGTCTTGTTATTTTCTGGATTTTGGGGACTCGCCATGGGAGCCTTTCCTAGCAGCGTGCAAATAGGTAAGAATATCTACTGGGGGGAAAGGGGTCCTTGTGGTGGAAGCTGACATCCGGAGTGAGTTTGACGAGTTGCTGATGAGCAACTGAGGAAATCCTTCAGCGGCTCCTTTCCTTGGCTTGCCTCTTCCTGCCTCCTTCCCCCGTTTCACAGACTGTATCTTTGATGCAAGTTGTTAGTAGACAGGCTAGCCCACCCATCGCTGACCCTGTTTCCATCTTGAGACTCCAGTAGGTTAAGTAGGACTGGAAGAAGTTGAAGAGGCAAGATAAAAAAAAACAAAAAACCCTCCATGGGTTAACCGCATTTTATAATGTATTTCTTTTCGCCCTCTCCCCTAGAGCAGGACGGAAGATTGAGTTATATTTTGCTTTTTAAAACCACTTATCCTGCAAGCTGCAGCTTTCTTGTTATCACAGAAAGAGACTGGCCCCCAAACAGCGTTTCCCAGCCATTGCTACCGGTACCGGTTACCAGATTCCAAAGTTAGATCCCTTTCCAGAAACCGTCTCTTTTTATTTTGTTTTCCTCTAAAGCTTCTACCCCTACCGTATTCTTCCGCCTCCACTTTATTTCCGGGGACCGTCCACCCTTGGCTGTTCTTGCCATTCTCTGTTGCCGGGACGCAGCTATTGAATTTCTTCCAACCCAGCCCAGCCTCAAACGCTGCATCATTTTTCCTGTACTGAGCACAACACTGAGCTCATTAGGCTGGGGCCACAAACGGCAGGAAAACAAAGTTCTTTTCTCCCTTCTAAATGGGCTCTCTCTTGTGTGTCATCACCTCCCTTCATTCCTGTATTTTCATACAGGAATTTCTATCTTTCCGGTTCATCTGCATGCTCGCTAGAGGAGAGAGTTGTTATAGTGTTGTGCTTCGAGAATCCTGAGGAGGGCAACTGAGAGAAAGACACACTATAAATGGTCTCAGAGGTCACTGTGATCCTGTCAGATTGGACCAAGAAAAAGCTGAGCTGTCCTAAACACTAAAATACAAAGCACTCACCTCATGGACAAAGGGCAGTCTCCTGTGATGTGACTAGGAGAGCTCCTTAATTGCATGTGCTGGAGGGTAGTTCAGCTAGTGCTGGGATGGGTGTAACATTTAAAACAGGAAGCACTGACTGTGTTTTTCCTGCTGTCTTTCATAGGTGGTCTTTTCATCCGAAACACAGATCAGGAATACACTGCTTTTCGATTGGCAATTTTTCTTCATAATACCAGCCCCAATGCATCGGAAGCTCCTTTCAATTTGGTCCCTCATGTGGACAACATTGAGACAGCCAACAGTTTTGCTGTAACAAATGCCTGTAAGTAAAACCCAAGTTATGACTAGATTAGAAGAGAATTGCAATGAGGTTATGGAATTCCCGTTTTGGTTATTCATTTTCTAGAAAAAAATTCAAGATTCTAACAGTTGTCTGGTTTCAGAGAAAAATCATAGTTTACAAAGGTTTAGTCTCTGGGTTTTCAGTTAATCTCCTTTCCTGGTTTCTTCTCTCCCTCACTCCCCTTCCTTTATCCTTTCTTCTCTCCTCCTTTCCTCTCCCCCCCTCCCCAATCATACAAGCTGAGTTCTACCTGAACAATTCAGCTTTGTTCCTATCTTCTGAGTACAGTTTTTCTTTTTTCTCATTCCTTTGGTTTTTCCTACTTGCTTTTCACTTGAGTAAGCTTATGTCTTCCTTTGGAAGAAAACACATGCACTTTCCAGTGGTAGAGGCCATGAAAGGTTTGCTAACGGTGAGGAAACCAGAGGAGTGGTGATGTGGAGGAAATACATTTGAGTCTGTTGGTCGACACTGAATAAGATGGTGATGTCATTTGAGTGTGCTCTGCCCCTATATTCTGGGTCGTAAATGTCTCTTACTATCACATAATACATCTGTCCTGTACATGGAACGCCGTGGAGCCTTGTCAAATCACTTTAGTCCCCTATCCACTTGAATTCTAACACCAACCCAGCTGGATCCATTCTCTCACACAATGAAATCCCAGGAGTGACCTCACCTAATGCCAGGAGGGAAGAGTTGTACAGAGGTCCTGAAGATTCTATGTGACTTAACATGCCAATAACTGCATTAATTTAAAACACTGAAACATGCATGATCAGTCAGCAGCATTGGGTTAGCTTTTGGTTCTTGAAGAAAGTACATGGGTCAGATGCTTCCTCAGTTTGCCATACTATTTTACTGTTCTATTAAAGGATGTTTCTGGATTACTGGAGTCATGTGGAAGCAGTTTCTGTATAAAATAATGTGTGCTTTCACAGCAGTACTACAATGTTTAATCTGAATTGTGCAGAGTTTTATTGCATCAAGTTTGGACACCTTGGGATTAAAAAAAATCTGTCAGTTCAAAAAAGTACATTAACAAATAAATATATGAAATAGAAATCAGAGTTTTTAAATGATTAGAAGATAACTATTTCAGGAACTTAAATGCTTTCATTTGTATTTATTTGTTATAATCCACCAGATACTAGAAAGATTTTTCCTGGATTTTGGAGGTCTGTTTACTACTACATTTTAGAACTTACTTTCATGAAGAGGTTGAAGCCTTTGACAATTTTGAAAAGTGTTACAGTTACATTATTTGTTCCTATAAGTAATACTTAGTGATTTTTTTTTGTTTTACTTAGTGATTAAACTCATATTAAAACAAAAAGGAGTTATTTTAAGCCAAAATACATATAAATAAGAACTAAGTTTATGAATTTATAATTTTATGTTATTTGATTTATTTGTCAAGTGTTAAATAAAAAAGCAACATTTCTCATTATTCTATGCAAAACATTCTCCTTAATGTATTAATAGTATTTTTTATTTTGCATTGTTCTTATCTCTTTCCTAAGACTCTGTCAATATATATGTTACCAGCTTCATTATCTAAGTGTATGTGAAGGTACTTTGTCAACAGTGAATTACTTTTACATATTATTGTTAAATTTTAAATGTGTTTCCTAAAAGTGGAAGATATTTTAGTTTATTTTGTTTTGTTTTTACAAATTAAGATCTTAAGAATGTTAAAGCTTGCACAGTGACTTTCAGCTTTGCAAAATATAGAGTGATAATCCTTTCTTCCTCTGTCATTTCTTAACCTCATTTGACATCATTTTAAATAGTACTATTTAATTATGTAACAAAATATGCATGAAATCAAGTGTTAATGGTGAAGTATCAGTGAATCTGAGAAGGGGAACCAGCTGCACATAGAAGAGAAAAAGTATGAAATATAGAAAATGTTCTTTAGCATTTTAGGATTGAGGGAGTAGAGCAAGTAAACTTTAAATCAGTTCTTTTTGACTGCAAGTATCAGACAATCTTGGCAAGCCAATATTTTTCATAATTATATACAATTGGTTCTGTCTGTGTAGATGTTTAAGATGTTTTATGAAACCAAATTATAAGTAAGTTAAAAACATTTTCTGGTGAAGAAAGGATAATTATTTTGACAAATGAATATGACAAATGACCTTAAGGCAATTCTGAGCTGCATTTGAGAAAAAAATCCATGGTCAAGAGTGGGTCAGATGATTGGTGGTTGTTCAATAGATTGGCCAAAAATGCACACACGTGATTTTTCCACTCTAATTAAAGGTAAAACATAAGCAGTTTCCTGAAAGCAACCTCATGGATCAAACTCTATGCCTTTGGTTACAAAATGGTAAAAAATAGGTCTTGGAATTTTATATTTTAGAAAATCAACACACGGCTTTTTCATAAAGTGATGCAGAGCTGATTCTCAATCTTACCATCTTGAAATAAACATTAAGTTATAATATATGCTACATTGGATTGTTTTATTGTGATTTTTCCTACAATGAGGGATTTTAAAATCTCAGTCTCCTCTCACTGCGAATGATGATCATTAAGTAGGACACATTCAATTATCTTACAGAATCTACACTCACACATGAAACAGGCCTAAGAATGAAATGTCTTGGTTACCTATTGGACAGGTCTAATCTAATGCTAGTTCTTATAGCCAAAATTAAGTCAGTGCTTTGAAAACACTGTGTACAATTAAACCCCTATAGGTACAGAGTTCATATGCTTATAATTTTACATGGCTAATTCAAACATCTTATTTCCTTTTAATATAAACCTTATCTTCCTGGAGGCAGGAATGATTTAGGACTCTAATTTCATTTTTAACAATATTTTACTTTTGAAATTATTTGTATGTGGTTATATTAAATATTTTTCATGTGACTAGAAAGTCACACCTTGCTACATATTAAAAATAAATTGGAAGAAATACAGATAATAAAATTATGACTACTTTAAATAAGAATGATACTTGTAATAAGTAGGCCTTTTAGTCCAATTTTAAATGTAATTGGATATTTTATTATTGTAATACAAATACACAAGATGATGAAAATGGATATTTCAAAATTAAATACTCAATATGATCAATATGATTAATTAAAATGCTAAGTATATTTCAAAGAGTTATTAAAATAGCTATCTCTGTACACAAATGTCCTTACAAGACATTTGATACAACTCACAATAGCCTGGATTTTAAAATATTTTCCCCACTATTTAATAGATAGAAATATTTTGTTTTGGAAGGTAATGTTTGTTAAATTTGACCAAAAGCAGGAAAAAATATATTAAACTTCTCTGTCACTACAATTTCTAAAAGATAATACTTGAGACGTAGCTATTGTGAGTTTAATTTAGATATATTAGAAATCTTGTGAGAAGTTAATCCTATTAGTGAGGCAGCCTCTGTACAACATCACCCAAAAACATTCTGTCTCTGAAATGGCACTTGAAAATTCAAATGAACACTTGCAAGTACATAATAAATCAGATGAACTACACACGTACTGTTTCCAAAATACAAAGGGAAGTTATTGATTAACAGATTATTTCCAATCTGTTTATTTCTAGAGAGGACCAATTAGTTAGTGTTCTTCTTTTCTTATTTTATAATGACATGCTTATGTTCTGCTCCTCCTCTGCCAAAATCATTCTATTCTGTCATTTATACTAGATGACCAAAAAATCAAAACAATCACAGACTAGATATTACACTCTAGTAATGATGAAGAAAGTGGTTCGGTGGTTTGCTTTTATTTTGAGACAGAGTCACACTTGTATCAACGCTGGCCTGGAAGTCACCAAGAAGCCCAGGTTGGCTTAGAACATATGAACCTCCTGTCTCAACCTCCTGAGTGTAGAATTACAAGCCTGTGTCATCAGGCTCAGCACATGATTTTAAAGCTAAACATCACTTCCGTTTGTGGTCAATTTACTTATCAACTTTAAATATCCAAGGAGAATGTAAAAATATCTGGATATATAAAATACAGTTGATTAGTTAATTTACATACATAGAAAATGTGACATTATGTCTAGTAAACGCTATAGGAATTTCCACTTGTATAATAGGTACACTTTAAAAATTCACTGCGCTTAAGTGTATTAAACTATCATATTTGGGGTGAAATTCAACAGTGTATACATTGTATACTTTCCTTTGAGAGAGGAAGCCCTGTGGCATTACTATTTGACATTACAGTTATACTTGAATAAGTAACCTGACTCTTATTCTCTAAAGTAGGCCAGAACTCAGAGGGTAATGATTCTGCCACATGTCTGTGCTTCTCAGTCAGGCATCATCCATACTTTTATTCAAAAACGTTTCTCTAGCATTAGTTTTGGGGAGCCTCAAGCTTGGATCCACCCTTAACTTATCAGACAATCTTGTTCTTACATCCCTAGGCCTAAGACATCTCATACAGGATGTCAACCATTCTTCTCAATCTCCATTGTTTACAGTGAAGATGTGGTGCCTTTCAAGGCTCTGATTTGGTCATTCTCAAGTATATCCACAGTTATACACTATCTTGGGTTGTGCCAGATAGCTTTAGTGTCAACTTGACACTCCTGGGTCCAGGGAGCCTCAGTTGTGGAATTACCTCTATTAGACTGGCCTGTGGCCATGTCTGTGGGACATCGTCTTGTTCAGTGATGTGGGAAGAACCGGTCCACTGTGGGTAGTGCCAACCCTGGGCAGGTGGGCCTATGTTATATAAGAAAGCCGACCGAGCAGGGGCCAAGGGAGCAAGCCAGTAAGCAGCATTCCTCCATGGACTGTGCTCCAGGTTCTGCCTCCAGGTTCCTGTCCTGAATTCCTACCTTGGGCTCCCTGATGAACTGTGACCCGGGAGATATAAGATAAATAAACCCTTTCCTCACCAGGCTGATATTGGTCAGAGTGTTTTATCCCAGCAATGGAGGGAAAAAAACCCAAAAACCAAATATAGGTGGAGCAGCAAATGAAAGTTTCAGGG